GATCCTCTCCCTACAACACAGGCAGTGGGTGCTGTGCCCACACCCGGGGGCACTGGCTGCACTCAGAGCTTGCCCTGCTGTGACTGGGCCCTGCTCCGGGTGCACCTCCTGGCGCGCTTGCGTGCTCTTGTGCTGCCGGTTCCCCTGGTGCGCGCCTGCACGCTGCCTGCCGGGCGATGTGCCCACATGTCACATTGGAGTTTGGGCAGCCCGTGCACACGCTCCCACCTGCTCTGTGCTGTGGCATGCCCAGCCTGGTGTACATTTACCTGCGTGGCCTCTGTCACCAGCCACCAGGTAGCTGCAGCCCTAAAGTCACCATGGCCATGCAAGGAGAGACCCCCACCCAGTGGTTCTCCAGGGCTGCAGCCCCCAAGGATTTGCCTGCAGCCTTGCAGGCCACGCAAGGCCTCTGTGCATTGCCACGTGTCTCAGGGGACCTTCAGCACCACAGGGCTTGCTTGGAGGTAGAGGACCCCATGCATGGTGGTGGGATGAGCCGCATGGTGCTCCCCACCCCAGCGCCACAGCCAGGCCCTGAGCCGCAGCATGGCTGCAAGGCTGCTGACAGCGCCGCCTGCTCTCCCCGCACTGCGACGTGCCGTACCTGCGCCATGCCGCACCATGCCGCTCACCCCTCCCCGGTGCTGTTCCCAGGCGTGGGCTACGGGATGATGGTGGTGTCCACGTACATCGGGATCTACTACAACGTGGTGATCTGTATTGCCTTCTACTACTTCTTTGTGTCCATGACGCGTGTGCTGCCCTGGACGTACTGCAGCAACGCCTGGAACACGCCCGACTGCATGGGGGTGGTGGACAGGAACCTCTCCAGCCGCACTGCCCTCAACCTCACCCGCCTCCTCAACGTCACCCAGAAGCGCACCAGCCCCAGCGAGGAGTACTGGAGGTACTGGGGATGGGGATGGGGGACAGGGGAGGTGGTGGTGGCAGGGCCCCGCTGACGCCAGCTGCCTCCTGTGCAGGAGGTACGTGCTGGACCTGTCGGATGACATCGGGAACCTGG